GTGGGACTCCAGAAGCAGCTGATAGGTATCGGCAGTCCAAGCGGAATGCAGCTGAGGCAAAAAACTCGGGCATGGTAGGAGTTCAGAGAGGCCGTGAAAAAAAAGCTTCCTTACGGTTTTGAGGCGATTCTGGTCCACCATCCAGCGTCTCAGGGGGGAAAACGGTTCACCACTAACACTGTCTATGGTGGGGATGGTGGCTGCTGAGCTCAGCTTGGGACATTGTGGATCGGTGTATGTATATATACTGTATGTACCGTATATGGAATAGCGTAAATGGGCGTATATGGGAGGATGAAGACTGGCTCACCCTTAACAACATCACAGATAAGATAAGATAAGATAAGATAAGATAAGATAAGATAAGATAAAACTTTATTTGATCCCACAGTGGGGAAATTTGCACATTACTGCAGCTTAATACAGGAGAGGCTGAGAAGAATAATGAAAGATAAATAAAAGATAACAAACAAAAACAACCCCACAATATACACGTGATATATAGTAATGTACATATACCAATGCACATATACATAAACACATATGCATATTTATATACATATACATACACACAGGCACTCAGAATTTCTAAAATCGCAGACTTTACTCCTTATAGAACAGATTTTAGATTTGAGACCTGGGCAGAAAAAGGAATAATAACTATACATTAGTTGTTTGATTGTGAGATATTAAAATCTTTTCAACAACTGCAACACAAATTTGGACAAGGCTCCAACGACTTTTTTATTTTTTATTAAGTATTTACAAATAACAGATTACGTACTGTCATACTCAGAATGGGACACCCTGAAACAGTTGCCAAATCCAATTGAACACTTTTTGATTAAGATGATTAAAGATAAAAACAAGGTAAAAATAATATCAAACATGTATAAATGTTTACAATCAGGTCTGTCCAATAATTCCATGGACATAAAGGGGAAGTGAGTTCTGGAGGCAAACACAATTATTGAAGAGGAAAAATGGGAGGGGGCAAAAATCACACAAATAGCCCAACATGGAAGGAGTTCAATTGGAAAATCTGGATTAGATTTTTAAGACTCCATCTATTATATCTAAGAGAAACAAAAATAAAAATGTTTACAAAATGGAAAAAATTACAGCAAAACCTCAATTGAAACTCAATCTGTTTACAGATTTATGTGCTCATGTCATTGATTACTTTGGTTGGGTATAATTATGAATATTAGTTGTCTTCAGTTGGTATATTAATACATCATACTTTTATTTTTACTATGACACATCATTGTGGAAAGTGTATACATATTTTATTTGGCTGGAAAATTGTTTTTATTCTGAGTGCGTTACATGTAGAGTCTCTATTTGTTCTTTTGTTCTAACTGTATTGTTGATGTAATTGCATATTGAGGATAAAATTTCTCAAATAAATTAATAAATATTGTTTAAAAAATAAAGAAGGAAATGGGCCTCATGCAAGGACATTTTCATATTTTTATCCTAAATTTCGCTTACTTTTTTTGTACGAAAGGTTCTTACAAACATGTCAAGTCAGAGTCAACAAACGCTTCTATCTTCAGGAAAAGTTTGTAAATGAGCAGCGTAAACATGAAATGCCACCTGTACGTATTCAGGTGCTCGTACAGGAGATTAGCATAATTACCACCTCATAAACACAATATAATAAATATTTATGCTTCTTGCCCCACATACCAGGAAGTGTCCATTCATGTGGCAGCGCAAAGTAAAGAAAAGAACGTTACAAGTTCAGAGATTGAAGTCCTGCTCTCAGAGATTCAGAAAAGAAAATCTGTCATTTTTAGCAGGTCAGCTGTGGAATTAAAGGACCTGAATGGGACAAATGATGACTACTGTTAATGCTGTGTCTCCTGTGGGTCGTATACAGTCACAGAAATAAAAATCTATTCATCTCTGTCTAGTCCTGCTCTTATTTTCCTTTGGCCAAATATATATATTTTAATTTAGGTGTAAACAACTGTGTTGAATAATTTTCATTTATTCAGAAGAAGAGCCAAAGCCCGGACCAATGTGCGAGTCGTGCACAGTCTCCCACACATGCAAGTAGTGTCAGATGGGGTTCAAGAAAGCATTTTAAAATGTCTCCAAAATATGTCTGGCCCTTTGGAGAAAATAGCAGACAGTCTTGCATGCATAGCTGATGTGATGAATAAATCTCAACAAAATTTGTTTAGAAAAATAATCTAATTTATGTCTGTATAAAGCTGTTGACCTCATTATATACCAAAACAAATTAAACTTCAATTAATGCATAGTTTAGGATGGTTTGTAGTTTGAGATCTTCATATTAATATTGTAGTGTTATATAACAGCATTTATAGCCAATTGAATGTAATTTAAGCAAATTATATCATTTGTCAACATTATTACATTTAAAATTATAATTCTGATTCAAACATAATTAAGTCTATTATTAACTTAATTATAAAGTGTGATTTATTTTCAACTCAAAATATCTTCAAACTAACAAAATGTAAAGTTATTAGTGAAGAAAATCCGTCTAGATAACAGCAGACTGCACGTAAAATATACGACAGGTCTGGACCACTCGTGAATTTTGTTCGTATCTAAAAAAAATCTTACAATACGAGAAAATTTGTGAATGCCATAAGTTCTCCTAAATCACTCATACGCACAACTTAAGAACAAATCTATTCGTACGAAGGGTTCTCGCATGAGGCCCAATGTTTTAACCTGTTTTATTTGTTCTAACTGATGTTTGACTTCATTAAATCAACTCAACAAACAACAATTAAAAGATGTCGTATATTTCCTCTCAGCAATGGACAGATGTGAACCTGAAGTGGAATCCAGATGATTACGGAGGCATCAGAAAGATCCGAATCCCGTCAAGCGACATCTGGAAACCTGACTTGGTGCTCTACAACAAGTAAACACAGAATGTGGTTTATTCTGAAACACACAGCTGAGCTTCTCTGAACATTTTCCTAACCTTACAGCAAACTCCTCCTCTCTTCCAGTGCCGATGGTGACTTTGCCATCATCCATGAGACTAAAGTCCTGCTGGAGTACACCGGCATGATAACGTGGAACCCTCCTGCCATCTATAAGAGTTACTGTGAGATTATTGTTCTCCACTTCCCATTTGACCTGCAGAACTGCAGCATGAAACTGGGCACATGGACATATGATGGCACACTGGTCGTCATCAACCCAGTAAGAATTTGTTTTGTTTATATGCAGAATGTTTTTTGATTAAAGAAGACAAAAAGTTTAATGCTGTGGTCTTCCTGTGGTTCAGGACAGTGACCGGCCTGACCTGAGTAACTTCATGGAATCTGGTGAATGGGTGTTGAAGGACTACAGGAGCTGGAAACACTGGGTTTACTACACCTGTTGTCCTGACACTCCATATTTGGACATCACCTACCACTTCCTGATGCTTCGGCTGCCGCTTTATTTTATTGTCAATGTCATCATTCCCTGCATGCTGTTCTCTTTTCTTACCGGACTTGTCTTCTACCTTCCCACTGACTCTGGTACATAGATTCTGGAGGGTTCTAGAGTCTTCAGAATAAAATGAAACAGTATAATTCAGTACATTTTGTACATTACATAAATTTGATTTTTATTGAAGAGAAATGGTATTTCTGTGTATTTATGAACTGTTATGTTTTCAGTGAAATGTCCTCCATGTTTTTGTGCCTGCAGGTGAAAAGATGACCCTGTCCATCTCTGTCCTGCTGTCTCTGACTGTCTTCCTGCTGGTCATCGTGGAGCTCATACCGTCCACATCGAGCGCGGTTCCTCTCATAGGGAAATACATGCTCTTCACCATGGTGTTTGTCATTGCCTCCATCATCATCACAGTCATTGTCATCAACACACACCACCGCTCACCCAGCACACACACCATGCCGGCATGGATCCGAAAGGTTAGAAATGTCTTCTCAGCATTCTGCTTTTGTCTCCAAAACATTGATTGAATCTACGTGTTTCGGTTCCGTTCCCAGGTCTTCATCGAAACTATTCCCAACATGATGTTCTTCTCAACGATGAAGCGTCCCAGTCAGGAGATCCGGCAGAAGAGACTGTTCCCTACTGACATGGACATCTCTGACATTTCAGGCAGGACACAGCCCACAAAACATTCCAATCTTCAGTTATGTTTTGTTAATATCCCAGCACTTCTTTGTAAAACCTTAATGTTCTGTCATAACAAGTGAGGAACCATGGAAGGATTTATGGAGGGTTATTATAAAACCTTTTGAGTGGCAGGTGATAATCACAGTACAATGGAGTATTAGGGCCACACGACAAGATTTTTTTTATTACGAGAATAAAGTTATAATTCAATTCAAAAAATACTTTACAGATCCCAGAGGGAAATTAGATGCAGTTTTAACTCATTTAACTAAAGACTTATTGTATATTGTATTCCTCATTTTAATGCAGTGGTAAGAATGCTGCTTTTGTGTAAAGGTTCTTGCAATATTATGACTTTAATCTCATAATAAAAATTATAATCTTGTTGTGTGGCCCTAATACTCCTCATATTACAGCAAAACAAATTACCCTATTTCATTTGTTTCATTGTTTGGCAAATTGTTGCTTGATATTTTTAATATAAAATTTATGAAATTCACCAAACTAGTTTTTCCTCCTGCTCTGACATCAGGAAGTCAGAATATGCTAAACTCCTCCTCACTGTGGTGAGACATTGTTTTTCTTCTCTACAGGTAACCCCACCCCCACCAGCATCACCTACAAGTCTCCCATCATGAAGAATCCTGACGTTCGCAGTGCAATCGAGGGAGTGAAGTACATCGCTGAGACCATGAAATCAGATGAGGAATCGAACAACGTAAGGAAACATATCAGTAAAGTTTTGTTGTCTCAATCATGCTTCTCCAGTCTACAATGTTGCTGCCCACGTGGGCACTGAAGTCCTCCAGCTGAATGATAGAGACCTCAACTGGAGCACCTTCCAGCACCCTATAAGGACTCCAAAAAGACTGGGTAATCCAAATAACTGTTCAGCTCATAACAGTTAGAGCCCGTTTTCCCACCATCATCTACTGAGGAAAAGGACAATGCACAGGTGCCAAGCTGGGAACTATAGGCCCACACCAGCCTGGAGCTTTTCATCATGGACAACTCCAGAGTGGAATAAGGTTCAGTCCCTTTCATGGAGATCAGTTCCAGATTCTCCTTCCCCTCCAGTGAGGGGACATTGTATGTCCCAGTAGCCAGCTTGAGTAAAATAGAGTCAGAACGTCAAGAGCCCCGCCTTTAGCTGCTACCCATAGCATCTTGTACCTGACCCTTATGGCCTCTGTTGCAAGGGGGTGAGCTTGTGAGATGGTGAACTCGTGTAGTTCATTTGGACTGAGCCCAATCAGGCAACAAGGGTACCTTGTGTTACTGTTTTTATGGGGTTCGTGTTTAGAATTTTGAGGAATAAAATAAACTTAATCCATTTTGGAATAATGTTGGAACCTAAAAACATTGGGAAAAAGTAAAACGCTGTGAATAATTTTGTTCTGTAGAACCTCATTTGCAAGGCATGGAAAGAACCTTGTCAAATCCATCCCTGAAAAGATAAATATACAAACCATCTGATGGGTATGTTTTACTAATGGGTCAATAGGTGTGGTATTGAAAACACACTGGTTTGAATCAGCAAAGAAGAGATGTGCTCCATTTCTGTGTCTAAAGTAAACATGTGTTTTCAGATTGTAGTTCAGATCAGGACTGGTGTTTTGCTAACTGTGGAATTATTATTTTAACATGTAAAGAACCATAAAAAAGTATCTTATGTCACAGAGCAACAGAGAGCCATTCCAAGTTAACTGTGTGTAATCTGTTCCACTGCAGGCAGCGGAGGAGTGGAAGTTTGTTGCCATGGTGTTGGACCACATCCTGCTGTGTGTGTTCATGGCAGTGTGCATCATTGGGACCCTTGCCGTCTTTGCTGGCAGGCTCATTGAGCTCAATATGTTGTAAATAAAGAAAGGTGTTTTGGTCAGTTACACAGAGACGTCAGAACAAAGTTTATCTTACTTTGTTGTTGTGTCTGAAACACACTGGAGCTGTAAGTGAAATCCTTACATTTACAGGTGTGAGTTGGTATTTTTACTGAAGAACTTCAGAGTGATCTGTCTTTTCATGTAATTAACAACCTGGCATCCCTTAAAGGAATCTATATCACCCACCAACTTTCATGTCAGGCTTTTAACTAAAATCATTTTCTTCATCAAGCAATAAAAGTTTTATTTCTCACAATACAACCACAGCCAAATGGCCTCAAAAATTAAAAGGTTATAACTCAGTTTTATGAATTTTGAGCTAAATTTGGTGCGATTGTAACAGGGTCATTAATAATACACTAAAACAGGCGCTCGGGATTCACATCAAATTTGAGAAAATCAGTAAAATGTTCTAAACCAGTTATTTTTGTGTTTTCTGAGGTCATTTGGCTGCAGCAGCAATTTGAAAAAAGGTTGGATTCAAAAGTTAATTCTGTATAAACGTACAGTACATCCAATAATAAGTTCCTTACGTTTTGCCAACAAAGTTGACTCCAGTTGGCCCTCAGAATGTGTGTGGATCAGTTTCATCTACTACTACGGTACATCACATTTAAGGGCAGTCACTGCAACGTTTGCAGATTCTGTAAGTTTTGTGTTTTTTAAGGTCAGTTTGTTTCCAGATGTTAATCAGCTGTAGATGAACAGCCAGTGATTACTTTCTGCAAGTTAAACACACTCAGACACAAACATAATGCTCCTGAGGCAGGCGACAAGTCATATTTGAAAACTATTGTCATCATGAACACTCTCTCTCTCTCTCTATGTGTGTGTGTGTGTGTGTGTGTGTGTATATAT